GAGAGGAAGGGAAATAAGGCAAATCCAAGCATTCGTGCTCTGTACAGATGGACTCTTACTAGCATTGATGCCCTTCAGCACTTTGCCTTTGCTAGAGTACAGAGACAGGAGCGAACACAGTTCCCTGACGTAGGGGGATGAAGGCTGCCACCGGGTCATTCCTCAGCCACGCCGAGCAATTAGAGCTCCTGCACTCTTGTGCGATAAGGCAGATTTTCCAGCCCTTGACTTGTGCTGGTAGTTGTTGCCTGCACAGCCTCCAGTTTGTCATTTACTTGTCATACGCTGCCGTGGGTGAGCAGCTGTAGGGGAATGACATCTAGTCGCAGCAATGCTCAGAGCAGGGGGCAGCAGTAAACACCTCCCAACTTCTGCCAAAAGCAGCTACTAAAGCCCCCAAACATCACTCACAGCTCCGCACGCCTCCGGTTATGACCAGCAGACCTCAAGATGCTTTCAGACGTCCTGACCACAGTCCCCTCCTTTCTCCACACGGCCGGCATCGCCTCTTCCCAGATACGCAGCCTGACATTTAGCGATGCTAAGATGCACACAGCTCGACTGCGCCCACATGCCAGGCAATCTGGATCCCCACTGCTCCTTATTGCTCCTCCAACCTCTGTCTCGCCTGCACGCTTTGCCGACAAGGACTTTGTTTCCTTGCAGGTCACAAAAACAGGTGCCATGGTTTGACCCATGGGTGCTTCCCAGCCCCACTCCCATTTGTAGATGAGAGCTGTATATAGCAACTTAACAGCAGGCGCTACACAGCATCCACATGTCTCGTATTAAATGGACTAAGAGCTGCACTTATCAGGTTTGCTTAAATATGATTAGAAACCTGGGCATATGAGTGATCATAAATGGTGAAGGGAAGGCGAAGTGAGAGCTTCTGCTTGCGCTCTCATCACGTGCAAAAGGCTGGCTGGAGACCCGATAAAAGGAATTACTGTTTTAACGCAGGAAATTAGGAATCGTGGCGACTTACTGCAACGAGGCACTGTACAGCTGACTGTGCTGGGGGATTAGATGCATTAACCGATGCTGGAGAGGCAGCCAGGCCCCCTCCATTAGCCAGCCTACTCCTCCCCATTACAAAAGGTTACTGAGCCCATCTACCGGGGAAGCGCTTTGGCTCTCCCCATCTGCAGCAAACCACCGATATTCAGGAGAGGGAATTCCCTCTGGCTGCTGAAGCGTCTCGTCTCTGCCCTGCGAAATGCCGCTCGGCGTTTGCTGAGCTGGAGGCCGTTGAAAACGTCGCTTCCCTTTTCCAGTGCTTGAATTCGCTGGGGACAGGCTGGCAGCCTGCCAGACGGATAATGAAATCTGCCAAGACATCAGCATCATCCGGGGCGCAGGGGCTCCCAGGGCTTGCCCGACCCGCACAGAGGGTTTTCAGACTGCTGGTACCTGCTCTCCTCCTCCTCTCCCCCAGGAGAGGCTTCAAGCAACATCCAAGCTCTCTCTGTACTCCTGCCACCTCCATCCCTCGCTCCTGGGCAAGGCAGCAGCATCTTTGCACCTAATTACAGATTTAAAAACAAAAAAACCCAACCAACCAAAAACAAAGCCCAGAGCACAGAATTTGCACATACTGTGTTAAAATAACACCTTGGGGCTGCAAAATTACACTTTGCATTGGGAAATGCTAAGTGGGGGCTGCTCACAGCCGTTGCCGTACCCAGCGGCACCCTGCCTTTTTCCAAAGGATCCTTCAGCGAACAGGACAGACACCGGGTCAGAATGAAAGCAGAAAACAGACATTTCTTAACAGTCACAAGCTTAATCCTGCACCCTAAATAGCACCAGTTAATGCATGGAGATATATAAATCATTAACTGATCCAACATCCTCCATGGGATGTTACTCACCAGGCTTCTGTTACAGGCACTCTGCCCTTTTTCCAAAAGCATCTGGCACCTGCAACAGGAGGACACAGTGAAGAGCAGGACGGTCCCGTGCTCCAGCCTGACCTGACAACAGCTCCTCCGCTTGCTTACAGAGCATGGCACCAAGGTCAGAGGGGTGCAGGACCCCACATAACCCAGCACCTGGGAGGAGACCTGCAAAAATCACATTTTCAGAAATAAGGATTTTTCCTTCCAGTCAATTGCTTCACATGACACAGTGCAGCTACATCTTTCATTCTCCATGTTTTATTTTTACAGAGGAAAAAAATATGCAGCATAACAAGAAATCACTAGTGATCAGCATCTTCAGCGTTGTGCACACCAGACCAGGATGTGCCCTGGGAAACGCATCTTCCTTCTGGGTAGGACATAGGTGTTGCTAACACTGCAATTTGCTCTGACGTGCATATTTCATCCATCAAGAAGGAACTGGAACGGGGGCATCTGACTTATTATCTCCTCATAATGATACGGGGGATGCTTTGATGGTCTCTGTACAGCTGCAGAGCTCTCACTGGGTGTATACTGCTGGCAGGACTCTGCCAAGGATATGTCCACGCAGGCTCTGGCAGGGCACAAAGGCAGAGGAGATGGCCCTAAACAGGAGACGTGAGCCTGAAATGCGCCTGATGTGTGATCTACACCGTCCCCTTTCAACTGTGTCAACACTCAGTCAACAGGGACCAAACGGATCAAAGCCAAAATGCATCATTTGCATGCTCTTCCCTAGCTAAGCTTCCTCTGCCTTATGAGAGGGCTGTAAATAAGGCAACTTCTCCCCAAACCCTGCTAAACCTTTACTCTTCCTCCAGAGTTTTTCAGGAACAAAGGGAGATCAGCTTCACCTAGCGCTCCCTGCAGATACTGGCTCCCAAATGAGGGCTAAGACATCTGCAAAGCATCACCTGGACAATTCATCCCCTGCTCCAGAGCACTCACACAGCCTGTGCAGGATTTCCACAGCTCCCAGCCCCCACAGAGCCAGAAAAGGGGGAGCAATTTCCATCTCCACCAGCCTGTAGGACAAAATCTACCGCTTACCTCCCAACACATCTGCTCTGAGACCAGCAAGATGTACTCACTTGTTCTATCATTACCCCTGCGCTCATCTTAAGCGCCACGCACAGCTCTTCTGTGTCCAGGCAGGCGTGAGATGGTCTCCAGCAGTTCCCCCTCTGCTCTCCTCCCGGCCAAGGGGGATCCCAGGCTTTTTTACGGCCCCACCTCAGTAACAGATGTACTTTACCCTCTCCGCAGGTGGCCACAGCCCAGTTTCAGGCTCTTCTTTAAGCAGCGATATCCAGGGTTTGGAGGTGTCCTGTCCAGGGCTTGGAGTTGTCCTTCAGCTTGGCAGTGGCTCAAGGGCTGTCCATGCCTGCCAGCCCAGGAGCTGGGTAAGGCTTGGGAAGTCTAAGGGGAGCTTCAGCAAAGGTGCAGAGGCACCTGGCCATTAGCACTAATCCTCAAGACCTTGAGCACCATCTCCTGGTCATTCCTGGATTCAGTGGCAACTTAACCTCACGCTTCCTCCATTTCACTGTCACCGCAAAGCCTGGGGGACAAACGGTGCATGCAACCGAGGAAGAGAAAGGTGGGAGCACTTCTCGACATGTGCAACACTTCAACGGGGTCATATGCCACACACACAAAAAAAAAAATGCCATGCAGAATATTTGCTCCACCAAGCCCCTTCCCTGGGGGCACTCCTTGCTGTTCACTTCTTCTCTCCGAGTTGTAACAGCAACAACAAACTATCTCGCTGGCACAACCACCTTGGCACGCTCCTGTGCAACCACCTCTGCCTGGTGGCTGCGAGCAGCCAGCACAAGATGCTGCTGGAAAACTCCAATCTGTTCATCTCCTGCACTCCCGTGGCTCTGGGCAGTGTGATAGAATGGGCTCTGCTCGCCGCAGGGTCTCAGGCTGTGAGATGCGGCGGGGATCACCGCTCAGTATGTAAATATCGCAGTGGCAGAGTTCAACCTTTTGGCATGAGGGAAAGGAAGATAAATGCTACCAGTCCCCTCAGAGCCACAGGAGCCCTGCATCTATCTAATTGCACTTCATAATGGATTCAGCAAACCATTAATTATCAGATTATATTTTAGGAAACTGCAGATAAAAAAGCTTTATGAAATTTAGCCTTAAAGGGGCCAGGGTGCTGTAATGAAGCTGTTGCATTGTGCTAGTACTGGAGAAGCAAACTTTACATTAGGTATCTGAATGCATTAAGGAATGTCCTGTGTGCCACGGGGAACAGCTACGTGCAGTCACAGCAGCTATTGCACACTCAGACAGAAATACCTTCATTAGTGCCAATCCACCGATACCAGTAACGACGGGCGCTGGCATGCAGGCACAGCTCCTTCTCCTTTCTCAGATGTGGCAGCTTCAGCGTGTCCTTGGTGGATCAGAGGAGGGGTGGGAGATGTTAGGGCTGTTTGCTCGCAAAGAGGATGTGGATGCCCCGACCCGCCTGTGACCCTTCTTCGTAACGGACAGCCGCAGCAAAAACATGGATGGGATCCGACCTGTGCTACACAAGGCATTACCTAAACAGCTCTGAAGCCATTTAGCACAACTTTCAAGAAGTATCCGCTTGACTGAGAGGCCCAAATGTCAGCTCTGCGCTGGGGGACTTTTCTAGCTGGCACAACAGGAAGCACAATGGTATAGGGGAGAGAGCAAGAGAAAAAACCAAAGCAGCCCTTACTCATCCTGCAGAGTAGCAGATACCTGCAAGCACATCACTGATTCAGCCATAAAAATCTGCACCCCGAATTCTCAGGACAGCTTTTTCTTTGGTTTCACATACCCATACCACCCCAACTTTGTCCTGCACTAGTCTCCTCCCCTCCACTCTGTTCACAGCAGTGGAGAACACACGTGAACACACCCAATTCTCATCTTTTCCTCTGCTTCTTTATTTCTTTTGAGCTGTGAGGAATGGGCGGTCCAGCTCACCCGAGCCAGCAGCTGCTGACTGCAGGGAGACTTCCCAGGCCCTCATGAATGTCTATAAACCTCTTCTGTCCTTGGCCATGCTGTGCTTGCTGCATACCATTTCTTTTGCAGCATCACATACCCGGGTTGCTTTCCCAAAGAAACCCTGAATGTCCCTGCTAGAGCAGCACGTTGAGGTACAGCTCCTGAACCAGTCCAGTGGACACCAGGTGCCACGCGCAGGCTCCTGCTCACTCTCACTTGGTTTCTTCGCAAATCAGAGTGACTTTGTCATCAAACAAGTCCTCCATGGTCACTGCCACCAGCTCGGAGCCAGCTTGGCTCACTTGGGATTCGGGCAATGTCACAAAGACTTGGGAGCCAGCGAGTTGGGCCTCATCAAAAGAGATTATGTGCTCTGCTGCTCCTTGCTCCGACGTCTGAATCACCTGCGGGGAAGATGACCTGAAAGTCAGACACTTACAGCATCGCTTTCCCCACAATCACTTTGCTACCCACATCTTTCCCGGTCCCAGCTCTGGTAATAACATTTAGCTTCACGCCAGAGGTCTGCAATTACAATAGGCATGAGACTAATGGGAAACACCAAATCACACACACCGATGATGCAAAAGAGAAGACAAGAGAGTAATTTAACATATTTCTCTCCACAAAATTGCTATAATTTAGCTCCGTAAGCAGTCATAGACAATAAACACTCTGTGATTATCCACTGGAGGAATGCCAGCCCAGGGAATCTTGCACACTGGGCTCCCTCATCCATGGAGCTGTTCTCCACTGATGGCTGAGATATTGAAGAGAAACAGTCTGGGTTCAAGCCTAGCATTTGGCCTCCAACAAAACAGCTATAATCTCACAGGGTATGTCATCTGGGTTTTAATAACCTCCAAGTAACCAGGCACCTCTGCACACACTGTCAGTCCCTCTTCTTCAGCTCCTGAAAATCAGGACTGAGCTGCTTCCCTTCCAGCAAGCCCACCTCACAGTAGCACAGAAATCCCGCAGCACTGTGGGCTGGGGGGCTTGCATCCTGGACCCCTCCAAGGGGGAATCAGGGAGCAGAAGGGGTGACAGGAGCCGCAGGGTGGATTTGGGAAGAATAAGAGGGTTGGAGGGGGAGGATGGATGAACAACCGCGGGGGCTGAAGCACAGAGCAGTCTTTACCTGTACAATCGGGGCCGTGGTGGCTTGGGAGAAGACCACCTTGGGATGCTCAGCACTGTAGTGCCCCTCTAGCTCGCCCTGGGAGGGGAAGAGCTCCCCACAGAGCTCACAGGTGAAGGTGCTCTCCGTCTGCTTGAAGTGCTCGGTGGTGACGTGGTTCTGCAGGGCTCCTGGGAAGCGGAAGGATGCTGAGCAGTACAAGCAGCGAAATGGCTGGGAGCCTGGGGGGAGAAGCACTACCCTGAGCCTGGGCTGCGATGCCCAGGGCCAGCCCAAGGGCACAGGGAGCTGCAAATGGCCAGGACACGCAGCGCAGAAACCCACCAGGGACTCAGGGGACAGCATGTGCCAGCGTCCCTTCTCCTGGCTACACCACTGTCTGACAAAGTGTTTGTGGCTGTTCAGATCTGTTTCAGCTCTAGCTCCCTGCAGCACTGGTGTTCAGAAACCAGGCTGGTGTATCTGATTGTAGCTGCAGTTGTCCCTTCTCGCAAACATCTCTTCCACCATCCAGCACTGCTCCTTGTTGGCCTGGCTTGCACCTCCTGATTCAGCTATTGCAAACCCATTATCCACCCCAGGGGCTCTCTCCTCTCAGACAGAGCTATGTCTAGGTCTTCTCCTTCCTTTTCCTTCTCCAGGCTGCTGTTGGCTCCCCCCTCCAACGTCTCCTGATGCATCTCCTCTCCTGCTATCCCACGCACAGCCCTGGGGACCTACCTTTTGTAGTAGTCTGCTCTGCCAGTTCACTCTGCCCTCACAGCCTTGCTTCAGCTTGCACACTTGCCAAAGGGCCCTTGACGTGGTCTCCCCCAGCCCAGGTCCCTCTCTGATCTTTCTGGTGCTAAACTCCCTTTTTCTCCAGTCTCCACTAGCTCTATCCTCCACAAACCCCAATGCTCAGGGTTCAGTTCCTTGTTTCTCTGTGCTGATGTCTCCTCACCTGGACTTAGCTCTCCTCTCTGCTGTAACAAGCAAATCCAGATCCCTCCTTGACTCCAGAAACTTAACAAACACATCCCAGCCTCACCAAAACCAGTGCTTTTCCAGTTCGTGCGTATTTTCTGTTTCCTCGCATTCTGCTTCCTTACTATATCCATCTCCGCTCTCCCACTTACAGCTTAGACATCACTCACTGAGAGGAGCAGTCATTGCTCACAACATGAACAACAGCAAATGTAACAGACCTGAATGCCTGCACTTCACATGGACCTGCAGGAGAGCCAGCGTGGGGAAGAGCTCCTTGCACGTCTCGCACTCGTGGAACTTCACATCTGCAAATAAGGCCAAGAACAGAAAAGTGTGTGCCCGAGGTCTTCTACAAGAGACCTTCTGGACCAGAGCTCCGTTAATATTTCAGCAATACCACACACGCATACAGACATGAGGAGCATCTTTGGAGATAAGGCAGGAAAAGGAGAGGCCAAGAGCAAATGAGCTGCAAGACACTGAGATGAGACTTGCCAGAAGAGACTGCTACAGGATACAATAAATCCATCGTGATTCGCAAGTAAACGGGATGCACAACCTTGTCCTATCAGAGTTATTACTACATTTCTCCCAGCAGTCGCCACATGTTTTTGTTTTTAACAAGTAGGCCGTTACCTGTGTGCTCTGCCTTGACGTGCTTTCGGTGAGCAGCAGTGCTAGAGAAGGTTTTGTCACAGGAGCTGCACTGCAGGGAGGAGAACTTGGAGGAGCGGTGATTCTGAGCTGCAAAGACATCAGGGTGGTGGGTCCGGTTGTGATACCATAACCCTGACAACTGCTGCAATGATAAGGATCAAATCATAGTTACAATACAAAGCTGTTCCAGGGACATCATGACAGCAAGAAACCGCGTGGAAAGCAATAGGAACAGTGGGGTTGTGCTCAGCAGGTAAAAGACCTGCTTATCCTCCCACAGGACAACAGCTAACACCTCACTTCTGCTTCCCCATTGCCCCTGAAGAGCTGAACACTGCTGAATCCCTCATCCTCATCTCACTCGCTGCAGGTCTCCTTTTGGTGTGAATTTTTGTTCTGTTGTAGGAATGTGCTCACACACACACTCCCACTGAGGCATGCCATTTGCTACACTAGTATTTTTATTCCTACACTTCCTGGCAGCTAGAAATTTGGGTGAAAGAGATTCCCGAGGGTCCAGATAGGCAGGTATGTAGCCCTTTGCAGTCATGGCCCATCTCTCTCCATGGACCTGTCTTTTCCCTACGGAGTCTGCCTCCTCTGTGCAATCTTTCCTTCTGCTGACCACAAACTGCTGCACTCAGTGCGCATGGACAAGAGAGACATCCTGGTGCAGGAGCGGGCAACAGCAACCTCTGGCACATGAGACCAAATCCTTGTTGCACCAGCTTACCTGGTAAGCTTTGTCACAGATCTCACAACTAAAGGGCTTTCCTCCGATGTGGGTCACCATGTGCCGCTCCAGGAGCGACGGGGCGCTGAAGACTTTAGAGCAGGTAGGGCAGGGGTGGTACTCCCGGGAGTGGGCTTCGTGGACATGCTTGCGGTGCTCCTGCAGGGTGGCAAAGCTCATCCGGCACTTCTTGCAGTCATAGGGATCTTCGATGTCTGCCGCCCAGAAGGCAACAAGAACCACAGGGGACAAAGAAATCAAGGAAAAAAGAAAAGAATTAAGAGGAGAATTCACAGAGGGAGGGAAGAAAAGGGAAATAAAAGCTTGTTACTTCCCAGATGAAAACTAGCACTGGAGTTTTGGCTTTGCATACAGATGTTGCTCCTCCTGCTCACCTACAGCTTCCCATGGTAGGTTCCCAGCAGCTTGTGGTTTGCTGAAAGCCAGCCCTGCCATTTTCTTTGGGATAACCCTACCCACAGCATCAAATCACTAAAGAGTCTTGCTTTTCTTGGGAGGGAAAAACCCCACCATGAGACACCCAGCCAGCCTTCAGGAACGAGTAACATCTGCACAAGCCTCTGCTGGCCCACAGAAGCGATGTCTTGCAGGCTGGACTGCCCAAGCCAGGGAGGTGGCTGGCCACACTCACTGTGGAAGGTCCGGAGGTGGATGGAGAGCCCGTTGGCCTGGCGAAAGCCTTTCCCACACTCCCGGCAGACGTACGGCTTGTCCCCCGTGTGAGTCCGGACATGGCGTGACAACTCGATGGACTGGGCAAACACAGCATCGCAGTACTGGCAGGCGTACATCTTCCCTGCAGTGACACCCAGGGTGAGAGCCTGCACCTAATGGGACAGGAGCTCTGTCTGGACTATGCCTAATTGCAAAGGGAGAGGGAAGAGATTGTAAAGTGGACAGGCTTTCCTGGGGTAGCCAGAGCATCTCAGCACAGGGTCAAAAAGGTCCAGACGTGCTGGAGAAAACCACACCTGCACAGGGAGTATTAAATTACTAAAGACCTCAAGTTTCTGAAGGTAGTACACACTTCTGGAGGTACTACATGCTGGCATATCTCATGTTCAAAATTAACTGCCCAGCTACAACATGCTCATGCCCTGGTAGTGGAAGGGGCTGGGTGCAGGGGCAGGAGAAGCACTGGCATGAAAAACTATGTGAAATTCAGCCAGAGGGAGGGATAGGAGAAAGGAGGTTAACCAGAGGGAGGAGGACGCATCGCAGGAGTCTAGATGTGAGGGGACAGAGCTACTCAGGGGAAAAAAAAAGGAAGGCAGAGGAAGATCCCCTCAGTGGAGAGCAAACTGCTAACTGGCTAATCGGAGGTCCTGGGGAAGAGGACAGGGGAAAGGCAGAGTGGGGAACTGCAGGCAAAACCATGTGGGTGAAGGAGATCTGGGAGCAGCTTGCCGCCCAGGGCTCCCCCAAAGGATGGGGAAGCGGCCAGGAGGCAGGTGGAGGAACAAGGCAGGAAGGGCTGGATGGAGCAAGCCAAGCCCACAGTGGGCTCCCACAGGGAAGGCTCACCCTCAGCGTGCTTCTTCTTGGTGTGGTAGGCGAGGGCCGAGGCCTGCATGAAGGTCATCAGGCAATGCTTGCACATGAAGGGCCGGTCCCCCGTGTGCAGCCGCAGGTGGTTCTTCAGCGTGGAGTTGGCCGCGAACTTGGCCCCGCACTCCTCGCAGGAGAAGGGCTTCTCGTCAAAGTGCTCCGTCAGCTTGTGGTACTGCATCCCTGGGGAGGCAGGCAGGACACCAGGCTGGCATTGGTGGGACCAGTGCCGGCCCTGCCCAACCCTGCTGCAGAGGCACCACTCCACCCAGCCCGGAGGTCCACCAGCCCGCCTGCGACACCAGGGGTCCACCGGTGTCCTCCAGCCCAGAGGTCCACCAGCCCACCTGCGACACCGGGGGTCCAATCAGTGTCCTCTGGCTCGGAGGTCTACCAGGATATCGTGAGCTGCCACAGGGAAGGCAGAGACTCAACTCCCCTTACTCGTCATGCTAAACCAGCCGCAGAACTGGAACAGCTTGATTATTTTTGGAAGCTTTTAAATTTGCCAGTAGCCCCACTTTTCCTTGATGAGCCATGTGGAAAACCAATTAGGGAAGAACTAATCAGAAAACGGTTGTGCTCAATGGGGCAGGAGAAATGAGCTGAGCTGTGTTTCTCACACAGAACACTCACAGAGCTGCAGGGAGGAGGAGGAGGAAGAGGAGATTTCAGACTATTGCTTTATTTATATTGTCCAAACATCCCTGCTCCCACCAACCTTACCTGAGGCATGAGCAAACTCTCGGCCACAGATGTCGCACGCCACGGGGAGCCTCTTCTTCTTCTTGGCCGTCCCCACCACCCCATGGACCTCCAGCTGATGCTTCTCCAGCTCCTTCTTCGTCGATTTGACCTCGCTGCACTCCTTACACTGGATTTGCTTTCCTCTGGCCACCCGACAACGTTTCATGTGCACCTTCAGGCGGCAGTAGAAGTGGAAGGTCTTGTCACAGGCTTTGCAGACAAAACTCTTCTTGGAAGAAGCTTTTTCTTGGGGTTCCTTTGGTTCCTTGGCACTGGCACCTCCCGCCTTGTCCTCATCTTTGTCCAGAGCTTCAACTTGGGATTCACTGTTCACCTTCCACTTCCTGATCCCAGGTTTCTCCCCGCTTCCCTCAGTCAAGAGACCTGTGGAAATAGCAATTCCTGTTTCGGTGGTGACCAGCAGGACTGGGCACCAGCTTCTCAGTCTCCCATCTCCTGAATGCTCCTATACAGACAGTTGCCCCTGCACAGCAAGAACAGACACACATCGGACACGCTGTCCCATCACAACGGTGGCACATGGCTCTGCCCAAAAGTGGCCCTGGCCATGCATGGTACAATGCATGAAAGAGTGGTCCTTGAGTTTCTCCACCCACACATACCAGGGGCTGGATTAGATGGCAAGAGCCAGGACCAGATTTTCCAAAGAGCTTCCTCCTCAAACAGTAACAACTGTTGCTTCCAAGCATCTGCCTCCTGCTCAGATAGGTGAAGTTATGGCCGTGCTTAAATGTTTGAAGATCTGATCCTCAGGTATGATACTAAGTCTGCCATTGAGAGTGGATATCGATCCCCAGCCACTCTCAAGAGTGGCTGGATTACAAGAAATCTCAGGAACACTTCCCAAACGCAAACACTTTGAAAGGAAACAGATAATCTTGCTACGACCCTTTTAAGCCTTCTGGTTAGGGCCCTGAGGTATTTTAAATCGCTCATTACATTCACTTCTTACAAAGTCTAATGCTTTTCTGAGTCCCTGTAACACCATCATCTCAAAAAGCACAAGCTGGAAAATTCACCTAGGATCTCAGTCTACAGAAAAGACCCACAGGGAATGCATGTATGGAAGAAATCAAAATACAAACAGATATATTTGGCTTCTTTGCTATAATGAGAACTATGCAACTGTGTGGCCATGGAAACCCGTGCAAACTTCTCCTTTTGCCAATGCACACGAAATTCAGCCTGTGCTTGCAAAACTTCATTTCTGCCTTCCTCTCTATGGGAGGAGCTCAGCAAAGTGTCCTCCCCGCACAGCGCTACTGCCCCAAATTTCCAACCAACTAGAAAGCAAATGACATATTCCAACAGACTTGGAAATCTTAAGATGTCAAGTGGTGACCCACCAACCTGTGAACACATCCAGGGAGAAAAACAGACTGGAAGTCTGGTTTCCAGTTTGTCCTGCTCTGTCAAGATAGCAATACACACCTTTCACCTCTAAGGTCTCTTCCCACATCCCTACAACCAACAGTTTTTCTGACCCAAATGAAGAAGTATCTTTAAACCTGCCAGAAGTGTTGAACATCAAAAAGAGTCATCTTGCTGGGCAGGATGAATGTGAACGAAGATACGAGCACTAAGGAAACCAGGACTGGAAGTGTCTAGAGGAAGTGCCATGCCAGCAGGGGTGTAACCTGAGTCAGACGAAGTGAAAAGGAGTTTTGCCACGGACCCCAGTGCACCAAGAGCAGGTCCTCCTGCTCTTATGCCTGTGAAAATGTTGTTCAGAATTACAAACCTTTAGCCTAGACAACAGCACAAGACTGTAATGGTATAAAGGCAGGGAGAGCTCTCAACTTCAGTCCACCTTCATGGGGAAATGCATAAAGGGGCTTCAGGAACAGCTCTCCATCTTCAGGGGGATGCTACTACTCCCAGAGAACAGTTTTGAAAGAAAGCTGAAGCAGATCATGTGAAATCAATGGCTAGGTACCTGCACCCTGTAGTCCCATGCCAGTATTAATACATACATCCTGGATGGCAGGAGGAACCTTGCCTGATGGTGGAATATATCCTCAAAAGGCTTTCAAAGTGTGGCTACCATGAGACAGGTGAATGAGAGACATGCTAAACTGCATGACGTAAAGCTGATGTGACAGTAAGTTCAGGTGCCAGGTTGCTGAACTTGCAAGTTTCTTCAATGGCATCAAGTACCACGGGCTGGCTGCTGCCTGAGCGGAAGAGGGGACACATGGCACTGCTACGTCAGGGCAGCAATTCCTTTCTGCTTGGCAGCCAGGATGTCTCCCAGAAAGCCTCCTATGGGTGAAGACAACATTTCATACCTCGTTAGAGCAGCGTCAAGCAACAGACATTAGCCGGTCAACTTCCATCCTTGGACATGCAGGAAACTTGGAGGTGAACCCGAGTGCTCTCATGAGAAATAAGACCAGACTGAAGAAGTGATTGCACATCAAGGTTGAAGGGCAGGAACTTAGCAGTTTTGGCCATGCCCCTGGCTGAGACTCCAGGGAGCAGACAGAGCCCGAAGGTAAACGTACACCAGAAAGGTCCCAGGCATGAATTCCTGACTGCGGGGTCCTCCAGGACTCTGGACTTTGCATCGTTTTCCATTCCCTGGTGGCAAAGACATTCAACACTGGAAGAAAAACCCTGCTGTTAATTATGGTGTATTTCATACCAAGTTCTCTTTCTCTTTTGTAAATGGTCTGCTGAGTCTGTAATCCTGGCGGCTGCTCTACCCTCCCCCTGCAATTCATGATAGACATTAGACTCCAGAAGCAGAAGTTCTCTTGGTGTGTGACCATCTCATCTCCCACTTCCTCAGCTTAAGCTGGAAGAACATTTCACCCACCCCTTTGCATCTTGAAGGTCATTTTGGTGGTTGCTGACACGCATGGTGGCTTCTAATGCAGAATCTTTATAGGGGAGAATGGCATTTTGCTTGCAGACCCTACAGTTTAACAATTCCAGGGGCTACCTCAGGCCTAAGTTAGATGCTGTCTTTTTTAAACACAAGCCTATGCAGAGGAAAAGCCTTTTTGCTGGAGTTCTTGACACATTTCTGAGATCTGAAAGTAAGGCATATCTTGACAAACATGATCTCCCATGAAGTGACTGTATGGAGACCTGAAAAGCAGCTGGCTGGAGAGGAGGTTATGGAGTTGGCTGGAAGAGCCAAACCTCATCCTTGCAAGCACCAGCTGCCAACAGTGAAAGTGCTCTGACTACAGAAGGGACCCAAAGAGAAGCCAACAGTTTTCATATTGTACCTTCACCAAAGAAACCAACCCATTACTTTGATGATGCCAAGTGTGGTTTGGGATGGACGCAGGCAGTTTCCTCCACAGGGATGCCTGGTGCTTTCCAAGTGCTTCAGCTCACCTAAATGAAGTATCAGAATTTTCTTCTTTTTTCTTTTTTTGGTAGAGATGTAAAATCGTTGCTTTCAAGTGGCAATGCAAACTGTACGCATCTCCATGCAGCACACACGTTCTTCAGAAATGTAAGATCTCCTCTGTTCCAAATGGAAACTCACATCCCTCAAACATGAGGCCCGCAGTTATTGTTCATATCTCATGCCAAGAGCCGCATGGTTATTGATCCATAAAGCCACCTGCAACATTTAGGGCTGGTAAGCAGTGATACCAGAGCTAAGCAGACTGGCCTAGAAATTAAGATATGGAAG